ATTGATTAATTGATGACTGCTTGATTGATTGATGATTTATTAATTGGTGACTGATTGATTAATTGATTAATTGATGACTGCTTGATTGATTGATTGATTGATGATGGTTGATGGTTTGCTCTGCAGTGTGTTTGGCCTCGTGTCTCTGGTGTCTGTGGACTGCAGCGCCCCCTGGAGGCTGCAGATGAATGCTGAGCTCAGCTGGTTTCACTTCCTCAGTCCTTTGACGCTGCTGCTGCTCTTTCACACGGTGGCGGCGCTGTGGAGGAACCAGGTGACCTTGATGATGTCATATACACTCATAGTGTTCTGCAGATGTGATTGGCTTACGGGTGTCACATGTTTCTTCAGCTGATCGTTGGTGACGAGAGGCGAGGCGTAAAGAGGGTGGTGTCAGCAGTCAGCGGGGGCAGTGACATCATCACCGCCACCAGTAACCTGAGTGAAGAGGTCACCGCTGACATCACAGCAGAGAGGCGGAGAGAGCTGTGGAGGAGAGCTCACGATCGACCTGAGTGCAGAGACGTACGGACAAAAATCAATAAGTGATCCATTTTCATTCATATGTTTAATCAGTGACTGCCTGATGGGTTTTGTAGTTTTAACTGTGACGATCAGGAAGCGTATCTCTGTTCGGCAGGTGCTGTCGTCGTCGACCAATGACAGCCCCTCTGACTCCTTTACCCCGCACACACAGAGTACTGCCTTGGGATTGGATGTTTACTCTGCGCCTCAATACTCTCTCAGCCAATCAGGTCAGTGATTGGTTTAGACAGGTAGTCAGTAGAGTCATTATATGTAAATGTGTTCATCATTTTGAGAGCGGAGGGGCATGGCCTGGCGTTTATCTGATGGATTTAACTTCCTGTTATCCCAGATTCTTGTTGAAATGTTTCTTCACTCGACCTCCAGGTGAACTAACATCATGTGACCTCTTGTTTCACATCCAGACACTTTGGAAACGTGTGTTTTTGAAGGTGACGGGTGGGGGGAGCAGGGGGAAGTGAGTAGCGAGGTGGGCGGAGTCAGTGCAGCCTCCATGGCGTTCAGCTTCCTCCTCAAACAGAGTTACATCTGTGCTCTGATCTCCATGATGGCGTGGTCCATCACATATGTGTCCTGGCTAACGTGTGTCCTGCTGCTGTGGTCATGTGTCCTCTGGATGATGCGAGAGCGTCGCCGGTACACACTGATGTCATCACCATGGTTGGTTGCCTATGGCAACTTGCTGGTCATCTTGCAGTACATCTATAGCTTCCCTCCGATCCAGGAAGTCCCCGGACTGTTCCCCAGAAAAGACGTCCCCTGCAGGGAGCTCGCCTCTAAGGTACTACTACCACTTTTACTGCTAATACTACAAATACTATACTACTACTGCTACCAAAAATACTTTAGTGCTGTTAACTCTGATGTAATCTGATCTGTTGCAGTTGTTGTGTCTTCTGACCTTCTGGCTGCTGCTGCGTCAAGCGCTGACTGAGAAGAGCGAGAGACAGGAGGACACAAAGTTGTCTACCATCACTGTCCATGTAGAGGGTGAGACACCTGTCTGCACCTGTCTCACTGATCACCTGTCTGTCTCAATGATCACCTGTCTTACTGATCAGCTGTCTGTCTCTTACTGATCACCTGTCTATCTGATCAGAGCCTGACCTGAAGAAGAGGGAGGAGTTATACGAGGAGGTGTTGCTCCTGGGGGGAGGAGTTCAGATGGAGGCTATGGTTGCTGTGGTAACCAGGATGTTTGTTAAATACTGGATCTACATCTGTGGAACGATGTTCTTCTTCGTTAGTTTTGAAGGAAAAATCGTTCTCTACAAAGTCATCTACATGGTGATGTTCCTGTGCTGCGTCGCCCTGTACCAGGTAAAACTGCAGTACTAAAATTAGTTTGGTATCACTGAGTGGACATTTGAAATAATAATATACATCCGTCTCACTGCACTTGTCTGTTTGTCTAGTTGAATTATGAGCGCTGGCGTACCTTGCTCAGGGGATTCTGGGTAGCTGTGGTGGTCTACTCCATGCTGGTTCTGATCCTTGTCTACACCTTTCAATTCCCCTCATCCCCCCACACCTGGAGTTACTACACTGGACTCAGTACACACAGGTACACACACAGGTACACACAGAGGTACACACGGAGGTACACACAAGTACACACACAGATACACACACAGGTACACACA